ATAAACTATACTCGCAAAATGAATGTTATGGTAAACAGCACAGCTCAATTCCAACGCAGTGTCACACAAAATAATTAAATAAAAATAAAAATAAATAAAAATCTATGAAAATTCAATATCAATGCAATTGGAAACATTGAAATGGAATAGTAACATATTTAGTATAGCGTGTGTTGCTTTTACGTGCAACAGATGGCGCTGTTTTTCCAAAAAAGCATGTTTTTATCTGTCACAGGTGTGACATCTATATTTGTAGTAGGTATATAAAAATGCAAACGTATTTGAATGGAACGTCGTGTCAAAACTTGAAAGCAATTGGTGAAGAACTTTCAGAGATTACAGTGTGTGTTGCTCTTATGTCCAACAGATGACGTTGTTTAAAAAAAAATATTTTTACCTGTCACAGGTGTGGCATGTATATAGTAGATACTGCATATAAAAATGCGCACGTATTCGAGGTAAGGTAAAGTAACCTTACCTAACCTAACTTGCCTTATATTACCTTACCTAACCTACCTAATCTTCCACCAAGCTCGTCACGTGAAATGCTTGTCTTGCGAATCAAATTTCCTCATTTAAAATAATGGAAATATAATTAATCCGTTCAACCACTGAAAAATATCAGTATGATATTCAATTTTTAAAATTTTTTCATAGAAAATAGAGCAGCCTACCTAACATACACCGAATAAATCTTTTTGACATTTTTTTTTTTTTATATTTTTTTTTTTTAGAAAATGGAGCAGACTACCTGGCGTACATTGAATGAACCTTATGACATTTGTTCTTTTTTTCCAATTTTTTTTTTTTATATTTTTTTTTTATAAAAAAAATGAGTGTTTTTCAACATTACAGCAGTCACCCCTTTACATCCCAGCATCATTAGCATCTTTTAAACAAAATTCATTGATTTGCATCATTGAAGGCATCCGAGAATTTGCAAGAACCAGCGGGAACGCTAGGAAGCACCACATGGTTTTCTCATTAATGGAGCGGAAGCTCTCAATCAAGACAAATTTTCTGCGAGTGGCTCGAATCTTCTCAATATTTCCTAGGTTTTTCTTCAGTGTCAAGGGTAGTTGAAAAATTAACATTCCAAAGTTCATTTTCACACTTTATTCAGCCCATCCTCCAAAAATGGGGAGGTAACTGTAACAGCCCCATAAGTGCAATTATGTACTATATATGACAGTGAGGAATTGTACTTATTTACACTTAGTATTAAATCATACTGTGAAATATATAGTGAATATTTGAGTTTACCTGAAAAGCTAAATAGAAAACCACGACCTCACCTAACCATCTTAGTTTTTGAAGATAAGCATTTTGTTGCTTCTTAAATTACTACTTATAGCTATATTGATATTACAGTTTTATTAAACAAATAAAACAAAACTAAAATATATCAATAAATTGTAAAGTAACTCAGGATATTTTCAAATTTTGTATAAAATCTCTATTGTTTAATAAAACTGAAAAAGAAATTCTTGACATTTAAAACTTGTGTATAGCGAACTGAACTTTAAAACTTCATCCTAAAATTACCTAAATATATATTATATATTATACAGTATATTATATATTTTATATTATATATTATACAGTATATTATATATTTTATATTATATATTTTATATATTATATATTATATATATTATATATATTATATATTATATATATTATATATTATATATATTATATATATATATATATATATATATATATATATATATATATATATATATATATATATATATATATATATATATATATATATATATATATATATATAGTGGCACCTTTGTTTTCAAATTTAATCCGTTCCCGGAGACAGTTCGAAAACCAAAACTAATTTTCCCATAAATAATGTAAATTAAATTAATCTGCTTCACACCCCCAAAAGTATTAACGTAAAATTACATTTTATACATACTACTACTGTCTCCACATGATTATCCGGACTATATGGGAAGGACCCCCAGCCGGATAATCACATGTTCCGGATAATGGTACTTTTTCACCTCCGAGCCCAAAACTAACCATTTCCAACTATTTTTATACTACAAACAACATAATTTGAATTTTTTTTTTTTTTTTTTAGATACAAGAGTTGTTACATTCTTGTACAGCCACTAGTACGCGTAGCGTTTCGGGCAGGTCCCTGGAATACGATCCCCTGCCGCGAAGAATCGTTTTTTCATCCAAGTACACATTTTACTGTTGCGTTAAACAGAGGCTACAGTTAAGGAATTGCGCCCAGTAAATCCTCCCCGGCCAGGATACGAACCCATGACATAGCGCTCGCGGAACGCTAGGCGAGTGTCTTACCACTACACCACGGAGACTACAATTGCCTTGTCACATATAATTATTAAATATTCAACTAGAAACCTCAACTTACCTTGTTGTTGTTTGTCTTTTTGATTGATGCCACACATCTTGAAGTTAAAAATTCTTGACAATTTACGTAACCTATTCTAACACAACACTAAAATTAACACTTAAAATTACTGTACAATTCATTAAGCACAGTTAGTTTTGACTGCCAGCTGCGAAACCCTCACTGGTTGAAGGCATTTGGCTTGCCTGTGACGCCTCACTTGTTGAAGGCGCTTGGCTTGCTTGTGACGCCTCTCTGGTTGAAGGCGTTTGGCTCGATTTTCATACCATATAAGAATCAAGTGTAGCTTGCCTTTTTTGTTCACTGGCCAGTTGTATGATCAGCTCTTTGGTTCGCCTCAGGTACTGATACATGTTTCCAACTTCTGGATGAGCACAATTGAACAATTTATTAATCCGTCAACATAGGTCATGAGTACACTGTATTTTGTGGTCATTGGTGTTCTTCACTGCCTTCTTCATCCTCCTCCTCTTCGTCGACCTCACCAGTAATAGACTAGATAATTTTGTCTTCACTCATCACACCATATCTTGGGTTATTGGCATCTTTTTCAAGCCAATCAACCACATCTTTCTAAGTTTTCGCCTGCATTTCTGAACATTCCATGGATTTCATCTGTAAATCCTTCAAAATCCATTTCTTCATCCTCCTCATTTCTGACCATAGACATGAGGAGTTTTTTCCAGGAATTTTTCAAAGTCGATTCCTTTACTTCACTCCACACCTTGGCCCAGTTATAGATGGCTTCCTTGCTTGTATAGTTCTTCAAGTTCTCAAGTTTTTTTTTAGCCCTGTTATCCACACCGAGTTCAATATCTTCCAGAAGAGGCAATACCACTAAAACTTCGTTCAGCATCTTTTTGGTGTACAACCTCTTCGTGCCACAGATAACTCCCTTATCCATAGGCTGAATGAGAGAGGTTGTATTAGGAGGAAGTGCCAGACACGTTATCTTGCCATCATGTGAGGTTAACGTGTCAATTTTGAGGTGGGCAGGCGCATTATCAAGCAGCAGCAAAGCCCGAACTTCGCTTGGCCTTACTTTGAGTTTAACTTGATAGGCACGAACTTCCCTGCAGAACACGTCATAAAACCAGGAAAGAAAGATCTCCTGTGTAAACCATGCATTTTGTGAGCTAAAATATTTCACTGGCAGTCTGTCCAAGCAATGTTACAAGGCTCTTGGTTTCTTTGATTTGCCAACAATTGCACATGTGATTCTGTCTGTGCCGTCGGCATTCGGCACAGACAGAATCACTTCAGCCTGTGCAAATTGTTTTTAGGAAACTTGTATAATATTTTCTATTACATAAGTACTAGTATTTCTTTTGTTTTTGGCAATGATGAATTGTTCTAAAATTAATGGTAATTCCCGTACCGTAGTGTATAGGCCCCTCCACATCCCCCTTATTCCCCCAGGTGGTCCCACTCAACGCTCCCCTTTCTCCCAACACTACCCACCCACCCACCCTACCCCCTCCTCCACCATGCGCCTCGAGCCACAGCCAGACGGGATTAATACGGTACGGCCCGCCCCATGGCTTTCATATCCAGACAATTCTATGATTATTCGGCTGACTGTCCGGATAGTGTAACATCGGCTACAAGTTAACCGGCTCCAATTTTTTTTCCGGCTAAACCAGCTTTTATCCAGCTCCCATGGCCATTTTGGCCAGGTATTGAGATACTGTAACTTTATCCGGTCACGATTTTGGCCGTATAAAGGCATTTTCCGGATGTTCGAATCCCGGATAATTGAATGTCTACAGTACTTATATTTTGTACTACAGTATGTACAAGTATATCGTACCTCTATTGAGGACGGTGTATGGAAGACGGTGCGGCAGGAGGGAGGAGGAGTGTTAGTGTTTGGAAGGGGAGTCTCCTTCCATTATAACGGCAGTGATGACATTTCTGGGGTACTCTCTCTCTTACGTTTTGCAGGCATACCACTAGGACCTGGTTGTGGCTCACTGCTTGCTTGCCTTGCTAAGAATCTGTCTATAGACACTTTTTTTTTTTCCTACGTTTTATAGATTGTCTGTAGTGAGACATCACATTGTTTCACCATGACCATGAATGATCTCTTGTTTTTTCCTCTATCGTCATCCTCACAACTATTTTCTTAGGTTGAACTTTACCACCGACTTTCTTGGAAACCATGGCATGATATATAATAAGAACTTTTATGTTCAGTAACTAAAAAGCACAAAAACAATGAAATTCTTCCCAAAGAATTCAAGTGTGGTCATCATTAGGCGGGAGACATTGGTAAACTGAAGCACACCAGGTGCTTAGTTGGCCCAATACCGACCATGCACGCTATGTGCTCGGTTGGTCAAAAATTTGTAAAAAGGGGCATTCAAAAACCGAGGTTCCACTATGTATAAAATACATACTGTAATAATAATTTTATATTCATGTATTTCAGTATATTCCAGCTTTGAAAACAAATATGCATAGGCTGTTTGGTAAGACAACCTGAATATAAAGGTGAATTTCACTATATTTTAGGGCTCATTTGGACTAAACTGTTTCTGGTACTTTTTTAAATAAAAGTGTCAAATATTATGAACATGTTATCCTCCCCTGATTGCAGGTTGCGGGATGAGCGGGCTGCGTCGGCTCCGCGTAACGGAGCTTCATCCGAACCTCCTCTGCATATTATGTGGAGGTTATTATGTAGACGCTACTACCATCGTTGAGTGCCTCCATTCCTGTGAGTTTATAACTATGTACGTAGTTATTTTAAGATTTAGATACTGTACTGTATAGCACAATATTTTCTTCAAAATGTATTGTGCTCTATTTGATATACTGTACTGTATTGGCAAAAACTGACAGTTAATCTAGAGTTTGTTTATATTTAAAATTGGCTGAAGTCATGAAATTAAAGTAAAAATCTGTAGGGAACTAGTGAATTTAGTAATGGTACTAAGTAATATCTCTCTCTCATACATACACTAAATCTTATAAATTATATAATACTGTATTAATCTTTAATGAAATACTAGTCAACATTAGGTTGTTATTTAATTTATTTATTTTTTTATTTTCTGGAAGGGGGGGGGGGCATCAGCTCCCCGGAGCAATTCAGGCTGATATGGATAGGTATAACTTTCTGGTATCAATGTGCATGGAGTTCTGGCCTACTGGGGACCACAGCCAGAACCTGGCCCTCTCAGAGAGGCACGAGGAGCAATTGCCTATTGAAATCCCCGTGTGGTTGGGAGCATTCTATGTCTGCCATCGATCGGGTCTGGCACCCAGAAAGGTAGGCGCCCCCAAAACAAACCCCTGTTCAAGTGAAAAATTGCTACGGAAAGCCGAATAAGTGGACAGAACTCCCCAAACGAAAATTAGCGAAAGAGCGTGACGTCATCATGCTGTTGTGCCGCTGTCTGCGTAACGCCCTCCATCCCCCAGGTGGGGAAAAGGGGAAGCCCCAGACCCTGGCACCAGTGATCCACCCACCAGTTCTTGACTGATGGGATACTGGCATGGTCTTGTTCCTCTGGCTCCTGCAATTGTCTCAGTTTCTGTGCCTTGTGGCATGGACTGTCTCTACTGGTGGTGTGTGAGCTAGGAGTAATATTCTTCGGTACTCAGGCTGCATGTGCCTAGGGTCACCTTCCCTAGGTGCCCTGTAAGTAGTGCCCTTGGGGCCATCTTCCACAAGTCATCTCGGGATCTACCTCTGCTGTGTCTTTTACTGCACGGTACTTGGCCGCCCTTGGAGTCGACTAGGGTTTTTGTTGCCCTTGTTTGCCTCTGGGTAGGAAATCGTTTTTGTCACTGGTAGGGGCGCAGGGTACTGCACAGTTAGTTATCACCTATTAAAGTGGCCGGCTCTGTTCCAGCTGGGTACATTGTCCTCTTGCGAGGGTTTTCTTTTGTTTTTGTTTTCCTGCCTGGTGGGGGGGGGGGGTCTGCCTTTTGTTGGCTGCCCCTATCTACATTTAGGGTTTATTTCCATATCTGTGTTCTTGGTGGTATCCCCCTACTAGGCCCCCGTGAGTGGACATGTCCTGGGGGTTCAGCTTTTAGAAGTTTGCTTGGTAGTTCCAAGCAAACTTTGCTCATTCCAAACATCCAGCCATTTTGACTGGAAGGTAGAGTTGACGATCTCGCTTCATGCAGGTCGGCGTTCACTCCCCGATCGTTCTACCCCTCCCCCAAGTTTGGTTCCCTGCTCCTGTGGGTTCTTCGGTTCCGACTTCGGAGGTTTTCTGCTTCCCTCGTCCAGTCCCATGTGGTGCAGAATGCCCTTACGGCTTACCTCTGGCACAAGCCGGCTTATGCCTTCGTAGTGGTTCTGCATTCTTCTTGTCCTTACTGGGTTCGCTATGAATTTTTGGGGTCGTCCTGGTTAACAGGCCTCTCTTCTCGTTGGAGGCTTGGCATCTGTTCTGTCGACGGGCGGTGCAAGCTTCTTCCCTGGAATCTGCTTAGGACCTGGCTCTTCGGTTTTCTTCCAAAGAAAGAGGAGCAAAGAGCTTCTTTCTTTTCTTCGGTTTCCTGTTGCTTTGCCTTTTTTGGCCGTTACAGTTTGCAGAGTCTGCAGTTGTGCAGTATCTGCGGACAACTTCGTCTAGTTGCCGTCCTGTGTCGGACTTGTTAGTCCTCTAGGTGGCTTGTGGGGAGCCTTTCCGGAAGGGTCGTGCTAGGGTTCGGGGGTTCTTTCATCCTGGTGGGGCCAGTGGTGCCAGATTCGTACCTTCTGTTCTGTTCGGTAGAATGGTCGCCTTGTGCAGGTACTTGTAGGTGCGTCTTTTCTTTCACAGGCTGCTTCTCCTGCGCGAAGTGGTTTCGGAGTGGTTTTGCTTGGGTGTGATTGAGACGACCGTGTTCCCCGGGTGGGTTCCCGCCTGTTCCGGTCCCGACACAGGACTGTGCAGACCTCCGGTTCATTTTGGACTTGTCCCGTCTGAACCCGTGGTTTTTTTGCCCCTCCTTTGGATGGCTACACTGTCTCAGGTCCGTAGCGAGAGGTATCGAGCAGGGTTTGCAGAGCAGAGTTTGTTCGTCCGGCCCTTGTTGGAGCCGGATGCTTAGATGGTGTCCCTGGACCTCGAGGATGCGTCTTGGCACGTCCCGATTCATCCACGGTTCTGGGACTGACTCGGTTTTGTTGTGAGGCATCAGGGTTACCGTTTTCTTTGTCTTCCATTTGGTTTGTATCTGGCGCCTTGCGTTTTCACACGGCTTACTCAGGTCGTGGTGGCCCGCTTGGTTCTGTTCAGTGTTCAGGTTCTGGCCTACCTCAAAAACTGGCTGGTTTGGGCTCCCAGCCAGACCTCGTGTCTGCTCGCCAGGGTATTGGTTCTTTCCCAGCTCGCCGGGTTCGGAGTCTTGGTGAACTGAAGGAACTCCTGATTGGTTCCCTCTCAGGTATGGTCTTGGCTAGGTCTTGTGTGGAGCACTTGGACTGCTTCCTTGTCTCTTACTCCAGCGGCTCTGCTTCTCCTGCATTCCCGCCTTAGTTGTTCCTGAGGGGCTCCCGGGTCACGCGGCAGTTGCTCGAAGGTTTGTGCGGGAGCCTGATCTTTGCCATGATGGTCTACCTGCCGGGTCGAGTGTGGCTTCGTCGGCTGTTTGGGTTATCTTGAGATGATGTTATCTTGAGATGATTTCGGGGCTTTTTTTTTTTTTTTAGTGTCCCCGCGGCCCGGTCCTCGACCAGGCCTCCACCCCCAGGAAGCAGCCCGTGACAGCTGACTAACACCCAGGTACCTATTTTACTGCTAGGTAACAGGGGCATAGGGTGAAAGAAACTTTGCCCATTGTTTCTCGCCGGCGCCTGGGATCGAACCCAGGACCACAGGATCACAAGTCCAGCGTGCTGTCCGCTCGGCCGACCGGCTCCCTCGGTCGGGTTCCGTCGGGGACATCCGACATCCGGGGACATCCCCGACCGGGTTCCGTCGGGGACATCCCTTCCACCTCTCTCGTGACCGCTGGGTTCGGCCTCTAGGGGCTTTGTGTCGGTTGTTGTGTTGTTGGCTTCCTCTCCGGGTTTTGGGGTTCAGTGCCTTGGTGCCTACATAAGCCCTCACTAAATGTGTTTTCGGACACGTCGTCTCTTGGCTGGGGCTTTGTGACCACTGCTCACCTGGCCGGCCAGGGGCAGTGTGGTCGTTTTTCTGTCAGGCTCACTGCACAGTGCGGGAGTTCTCGGCTGTGTGGATGTCGCTCCGGAGGATTCGGGTCTCTCGCGGATCGACAATCTGGCGCTAGTTGGAGTGTTTCCCGGTGGTTCATTCTCTGAACCGCGGGGAGTTCGATGCGGTCCTTGGCTTTGAGGCTCGTTGCTTCGGGTGACTTGTCCGCTGAGTTTTCGGGGTTTGGCTCTCCTGGCAGTTCACGTTCGGGGGTTGTCCATTTTCCTGGCGGACGGTCTGTCTTGCTTCCTTCCCTTCCATGGAGTGGACGGTTGGCGCCGACTCCTTCAGTTGGCTCTGCTGGACGTTTGGGCTTCCGGAGGTGGACCTCTTTGTGTCGGCGTAGTCAAAGCGTCTCCTGGTATTCGTGGTGCCCTTTTCAGACTGCAAGGCCGTCGAGGGTTGATGCCTTCAGGCAGGACTGGGCGAGGTGGGGTTCCCTGTACCTCTTCTCCCCAGTTCTGCTGTTGCTCCTAGTCCTGGCTCGCTTGGAGACTTACCAGGGGAGAGTTGGTGTTCTGGCTCCTTGGTGGCTGGCTCAGTCTTGGTTTCGGCCTCTGCTTGCTCAGTGTCCGAACCCTAAGGTCTTTCCGCAGTGCCACCTCTTTCAACGGATTGATCCAACCCGTTACCAGGCTGGTTTGTTCTTCTCCTCGAGTCTTCGTGTCTGCTGTTTCTGACTCATGTCTATCACCACTTGTATGGAGCGAAAGTGGCTTTGTTGTTAGTCTCCCACCTGCGTGCTTAGTCTCGGCGGCAGTATGAATTTCCTGGTGGTCCTTCTGGTTTTTCCTATCACTGTGTAGGTGTACTTCGGTCTCTGATAGGGTTGTTTTGTCCTTCCTTCCTTTCGTGGTTGTTTCAGGACCGCCATCTTATGCCGAATACTGTCGCCTTGTATCGTGTGGCGCTGGCTGAGTCACTCCAGCTTGCACTCGGTATTGATGTTACATCTCCTCTATTTTGTCAGCTGTCTCATGTGTTGTTTCACCTCTGGCCTGCTCATGCGCCGCTTGAGCCGTCCAGGTCTTTGGACCGGGTACTCTCTCTCTCCTTGCTTCTCCTCAGTCTGTTGTGGCCCCTTCAGTTCGTGATCGTCTTTTCTTCGGCTCTTTTTTCCTGTTGGCATTGGCCTTTGGGGGTCGGGTTGAGGAGCTTCATTCTCTCCTCCGGTGCAGTAGTTTCTGCTCTTTTGGTCCTTGTTGTAGGTTTGTTCAGTTGCAGCTGTCTCCTTTTCTGGCAAAGTATGAGTCTGCTGCTTTCTGGAGGGGTCCTTGGGTTGTTGATGCTTGGTTGGTCAGGCCGAGAATGCATCATGTGTTGTATGATTACGGCTTGCCGCCGTTGTCTATGCATCTTGGCCTCTCTGGCCGTGGCCTCGCTTTGGGTTGGCCAGGTTCCCTTCCCTCCTTCCTGTTACAGAGTTCGGGTCTCCCGGGTCATCCGCAGGGTCCTTCGGTTTTGCCGGTTGTCTTGTTTTTGTCTTCAGACGCATGGCGTCAGCCTCCCGGGTTCTTCCCTCTTTTCCTTTTCTTTGGTGAGGTAGGTCTGGGGAGCC